AGCATTAATCTGGGTCAATTACGACAGACGGACCAACGTTAGCCCTGGCTGCCGCAGACGGGCTAACGTCAGCCCCGGGTTCCCGCAGACGGGCTAACGTCAGCCCCGGGTTCCCGCAGACGGGCTAACGTCAGCCCCGGGTTCCCGCAGACGGGCTAACGTCAGCCCTGGTTGCCAGGGTCCATACAGTGAATGGACCATAAATGGGCCATATAGCGAAGCTAAAAGTATAAGGTTCTCGCTTCAAATGATCTTAAAATGTACTTTTATTGAACAACAGAAAAGAGAACTTTTAACTAAATACTCTGAGCTCTGTGAGTGCTAACCTGGAAGCTGCTGCAGTGCATGTGTGGCATAAGGTGTTTGCAGAGACAATTTGGTGCTAATGGACAGTTTATTGCCAAGACAATTTACAGTGTACCCCCAATTATATTTTTTATTTTTGACTCATGTTATGTATGCGTGTGACTGTGAAAACATCCGATCAGCAGGGGGCGCTGCGTCTCTCAGGTATCCGCTGCTGGCGCATGCAGTTGTGGAGCGAGTAAGATGTCAGACAGCGTGATCAGAGATGAGACATAGCAAAAGTGAACTGATGTTGTTGTTCATGTTTTCACAGAAAAATCAATAAAAATTAAATATGCTGCACAGTGAAGACCCCTTCTTCTTCTTCCACGTGTAACACATGCTGGGACAGCTGTCGGTCTGGAGAACAGACAAGTCTGCTGTGATGCATGCTGGGTAAAGAGAGAACAACATCCGGGGACTTTGTCCGATGATCCGTGGATCATCAGGATCTTTGATGGTCAGACTTCCGGTTATGTCTGGATGTTATATTTTGGGACGTTTAGCCCCTGAGCTCCTGTCTCTGAGCTGAAAAATAAATGCTCATCTGTTGAAATGAGTTGCTTTATACTCCAGCAGAAGCCATTACAGTACAAAAAAATAATTGATCTGGAAGGAATCACGGTCGATGTTACCAGGACAATGGTGCAAATCGATGATTTAACGTAACCCCTAACTGTTCCAGTTCTCAGCCTTAATCTTTTACGATAGGAAGGACCCTCTGGCTCCCCCTAGTGGTCTGGAACCCTTCTGCTTTGTGGAGAAAGACTTTTCCAGTACCATGCGGTGGACGCTTCGGGGTCTTTGTCTGCTATGATTGTTGATTAAGTTATCTATTTTCATTTCTACATCCAGTCCCGTTGCTGCATGGTCTCCATTTAACCACCACCTGACCAATCAGAAGCAGTTTTTTATTTTTAGCATCTTTCTCTGGTTTTTCCCTCCAGACTCAGCGGCTGCAGAGGGAGCTGCGAGTGGAGCACGACCTCACCCAGAAGGAGCTGCAGGAGGCCAGCAGGAGGCTGCAGAGGGAGTGTGACCACCGGGTGACGTTGGAGAGGGAGAAGGTCCATCTGATGGAGGAAGAGCGAAGCCGGCTGCTGCAGCAGGTAGAGACGGAGGCCGAGCTGCCGCCCCGCTGGTCGCTTCCTGTTGTTGAACTCATAGCTTCTGCTTTCAGATCGCAGACGGAGAGACTCGCTACAAACAGCTGGAGAAAGAGTTCCAGCTGTACAGGGAGCAGCAGAACGTGCGACCAGAGCTCCGCCTGCAGTCCGAAATCAACCTGCTGACTCTGGAGAAGGTGAGCAGGAGAAGAACATCCAGAGAGGAATGAGTGAGATGGTGCTCTGCTTCATGGCTCGTCTTCTGCCTCTGAAGGTGGAGCTGGAGAGGAAGCTGGAGTCCACCACCAAGTCCAAGCTTCACTACAAGCAGCAGTGGGGCCGCGCCCTGAAGGAGCTCGCTCGCTTTAAACAGGTAAAGGGGGGGCCAGACTCTGCAGATGGAATCTCACCCCCAGGGGGATCGGTGACCCGCTGGGGGATCCGCACCCCTCTGTGGGAACCGGACCCGGCTGGGGGCCAGCAGCTGCATGTGCCTCAGCTCCTTCTGCAGCAGCAGAACATCTCAGAGCTGAATATTGTTGAATTGGTGATTTCCTGCTCTCCATGTTTCAGTTGGTTCAGATAATCTCAGCCCGCTTCTTAGCCAACCTTCCCCTACAGCAAAACAAGACTATAATAATTATAAAGTTGTTTTTTATAAAGATCATTTCCTCCCCTAGTGGCCTTTATTTCTACATCACTGCTGGTAAAGTGATCTGGTTATGAAGCAAAATTCTGATCCGTCCTGTTGGGTTTAATAAAGTTATGAAAGGAATCGGCTGCTTAGAGCTGTGGGGGGTCAAAGGTCAAATGTGTGCAGCGGCTCTGACAGACCAATAACTGTTCCTGACAGGAACCAGCTGTTCTCCTCCCTCCTCTTCCTCCTTATCTTCCTCCTCTGAGTGTCTCAGCGCTGCTAAGAAAACAGGCTGTGATTGATGCGTCTTTACGGGGCCCGGCCCCTCCCTCTGATTAATCATGCTTTGGTTGTTGACCCCCAGACGCGTCTGAACCCTCAGACCCGTGTTTATCCGAGCGTCCGTGTTGGAGCTGGCCCGTCTGCAGGCTCCTCTCTCAGCTCCTGGCCCCGCCTCCTTTAGCTCACATCATAAAAATTCCTGTCTGAGCTATAATGATGGCGGCGGGGGGGAGAGTTAAAGCCCAAACAGAACCGAGGTGTCGGATCAGAGGCCGGCCGCCGTGTCCCTCAACTCCAAATATTGGGACAAGGACCTGAAGTTGTTCTTTTCTCAGGAAAAATATTGGGACAAAGAGATTAAAGACATGAGGCTGGGAGCTGAAGCTGAGCGGGAGGTCGCTGCAGGCGGGAGGTCGCTGCAGGCGGGAGGTCGCTGCAGGCGGGAGGTCGCTGCAGGCGGGAGGTCGCTGCAGGCGG